ATGAAGGCTGAAAAATCGCATTCCTCATGTGCAGTATCTCTCCAAAGTCCAGCTTAAGCAAGTGTCGATTATTAACTGTTGAGTAGTGTCGTGGTGCTCGGCAACACGAATGGATATTATGGCGCGTGCGCTATGTTGTTGGGGTCAATAGGGGCCAGCTTTGTGTCAAAGGTTCGTCGAGGGTTCTGGCGTAGCGGGTTGCTTGGTGGCCGGCGTCTTGGACAGGCAGAGGGCACTCGTAGACTGTAGCAGGACAAGGCGCGGTGGGACAGGGTTTGTTTCGTTCGGACGGGGCCTGAATCAAGATCAGGCTGGGTATACTTAGTGTGAAGAGGGACTAGTGCGGACTTGGTTGTCTTTAGGTGAATAGTACAAGTTGGATGTTGTTGACCGTCTGTCTGTGGTGTGCTGCTGCTGGCTGTGCGGGTGCGTGTTCGGTAGGAGGACGGTCTGTCTGCGTGGATCCTTGACGACGGAGGTTTGGAGGCTTCAGTTTGGAGGCGAGGTGTACGGTAGACGGGAGGAAAGAAGACTAGAGGTATGGATGTTCGGCGGATGAATCGACGGGATGTGGGTGTGTTAGGCCGGTGCAGCAGCCGGAACGGCCAAGTTGGAACTTCGGGGTCTCGACAACTGGACGAGTGGGAAACAAAGCCCTGGAGACAGACCTGCACTCTCGAGAAGCAGAGAGACTTGAACTTGGCTCCAGGCGGACGGACGGTGCACTCTGGAAGTGGACTACTAAGGACGGGCGTGTCAAGGCGTGTTAGAGCGGCAGTGGGCGGGCTTCCTGGTTCGTCAACGTGGGTGGTCCAGTTGGCAGGCTCAGTCTGGAGGCTCACTAACCTGGAACAAATCGGTCTGCCAGTCAGGTGCAGCCGCAGGTGTTTACCACAGTCGAGAGAGGAAGGCACAAAAGCCAGGCTGGAAACTTGACTCTGTCTGTGGTGGTGGATGGCAGCGAGCGATGCCACTGGCCCCCGACTATGGACCTACCTCTACCTCTACCTCTACAGCAAACTTGCCAAGACCTGCAACGGGAACCCGTGGATGGAACCTGCCCGGGATGGAGCGAAAGTTGGCAGGGCCCCAGTTCGCCAAAGGGGACTATGACGTGATGGCCCGGACCTGGGGCGGCGAAGAGAGGCTGCCAGCGCGCGGGCACGGAGCTACGGCAAGGGGTGTTATCCCCTTTGGGTTTAGGTCAGCACAGCAATGATTAACGTCCACTGAATTGTCATGGATCTGCCTGATCCAAGCGCCCCATCGATGTCGATACATAGGTCGCTAGGTAGGTACGTACTTGGGTACTTTCTGTATTTCACGTCTTGGGTCTGATCAACCACACAGCAAGTTGTTCCATATTACATAATGTGAGAATACAGACATAATGTACAGCAGTGTTTGACGAGGCGCAAAAGTCAAACTTGGACGCAATCACCAGTTGGCAAAGTTTTTTTTTGTCATGCACCTCCAGCGTAGTATACATGCACAAGGTTGAGCTAGAATGATCGGGATGAAGATCGAGGCGTTTTGTCCCAAGGAACACCATGGGTGGGAAAGTGGGCAGCTCGGGGTGGATTCCGCCGCTGATGACTCCAGTCCTCCAGTAGGTAGGTAGTATACACTACTACACTACACTACACTACACTATACTACCGTGCCGTGTGTGCTTCCGCAATGGCAAAGAGTCATCTTCACATCTTCCATTCATGTCACCGTGTCTTCCCGCGATGAACGTCGGGTCGCGGATGTGATGGACAAACACTGAAACACTACAATATGCCAAGATGCGATAGGAGAGCGAACAGCGGCATGCCGAGGACACCTTGCAACCAGGAGCGATCGCATTGTCTTGGCCGACAGCAGGAGGGTTGGTTGATTCCCGTCATTCCCGTTGTTGTCGTTGCGTTGTACACACGCAAATGCAAATCTAGCAAATCTTCGGCACAAACCTCAACGTTTCTTCAACCGGCGGCCAATGATCCTGTACGGTCGGGGAAAAAAAAACATACACCAGACGTTAGCAGCCTAACAAATCCATCTTTCCACTCAGTCCCATCAAGGCTTGGGCAACCTCGATACTGTTACTGCACTATCAGCACTAACTTCTGACCGGAATTTCCCATATTGAAACCGGGCAACCAAGAAGGCACGGGTAATCGGATGACAAGTAATCACTAGTGTTGTTTAGCAGCAGAAAGCCGTTTCCAATTCAGCTCAAGCCCCATCTTTTATTGACACCGCATGTCCATGCCGCCATGCAATTCCCTTTCGAGCCCATGGAGACACCAAAAGGAGATAACGGCGCAAATGATCATTGCACACCATTGGCATGTTGTTCAAAATCAAGTTAGCGCTTTATGGGCTCATTTGGCCTCATTGGGTTGTTCTGGATGGTTTGGCAACACCATCGATTCTGTGGCTTCGATCGACTCTCAAGCCTTGGATTCGTCTTTTGGTGGAGGCACCCGAAAACCTGGCTCGGGGCTGCCGTCTCGAAGGGCTTCTTTGAACGTGGAAAGGCTTCGGTGGAGTCATCGGTGTGCATGGGAACCGGACAAGTGCAACCTCTGTCTCCTATCAGGCAATTTATGCTGCCTTCTGGAAAATGGACAGATCGATGCAATCTCGAATCCAAAATCCGAAGCGACTTGTCCTTCACATGACGAAAAGGGGCGCGTCTTGTGTTCCTTGAATCGCTTCAGTTTGATTGACATCTACGACAATCTCTTCTTCTTCCAGGTGCAGCGTCCATCATCTCCCAACCCATCTTTGTATTTTCCAGCGGTGAGAGAAAGTTTGAGCTTGGAAGGCACGGGTGGCCACCCATTCGACATGTTTGCGATTTCGACGGAAACTTCCATTTCACGTGAGCACGATGGACTGACTGGATGTGTGGCTTGGAGAGCCGGTACAGACGGAGCTCGTGCTACCTTAGCTGTATGTAGGGTTGAACGGATGGAGGTCAGAAACATACCGTATAATTTCGGGGCGTTCGTTTTTAGCTTCCAGGGAAATCAGGCATGAACTGTAAGCATACCGCAACATTCATGTCTGCCAGAAATTGTATGCAAGACGGTGATTTGGGTATCTCCACCCTCCAGCGCCCTCGAAGAATAGGTGGGAAAAGGCAGGGAATTAGAGAAATCGAATTTACAGTACCTTAGGATAGCAATATGTCTCCCCCACTATTTTTTGCGGGCATAAAGTGCACATATTCGGGCAGTATGCTTACAGATTCTGCCTGGTTTCCTTGGAAGCTAAAAACGAACGCCCCGAAATTATACGGTAGGGTAGAGGCAGCGCCGCTGGCATATTATCCGCTGACCGCATCGCTTGACTCGCGTCTTGGAACGAGGGCATAAAATCGAAATTCCAACACCATTCAACCATGCGAACGATGATCTGATTCCGGCAAAGTTCCAGGTACAGGTTTGTCCATCGTTTGGGGCCAAATGGCGTACATGATACTGCCCCTTACCTATACAGTGTCTGGAGGCGAATAAACCATTCCTTGGGCGCAGCGACCGAGGAGAACCACGAACAATCTGGCCCTTTTTGTGTGAAATTTCGACCGCGTACGATCGCGAGTTGGTTAATTCAATTGCGCCCATACAAGCGGCTGAGGTATTACGTCAGAGGCGTCACAGGTCAGTCTTGGCCGCTGACCAGTGAGCGGGGATCTTTCGAAACCTCGGCCGAAGGTGCCGTGACGTAACGTCAATTCAGTCGACGTTTCTTATTGGCCACCTGTCAGCGCGTAGGTCGCAGGCGAGCCACGATCAACCGCAGAGCTGGAACGGGCCGGCACGGGGCCGGTACATCTATATGTACCTTACTACCTACTACCTAACGGCGAGGCGACTCCACGGCGCAACCTTTCATCGCATTTCACGATCCTACAATACCTACATACGAAGCTTAAGTTCTGTCGGGCACATCACGCCAAGTACGCGGTCCGCTTTAACGTCGCATCTTACTGCATTCCTTCATCGAGCATAACTCGATGCAATAATTATTTTCCATCTTCTCTCCCCAATCTCCAGTGAGTAGTTGTGCACTGCACTGTGACAGTTGGTTCGCTCAAGGTAAGGGTGTTTACCTGTTTCACCACATCACGAAACATGCGACTCACGCCATACAATGTCTGTCTCGCTGGTGACCTTACAGATTTATTGGACCGCAACACAGAAACGGATATATGGACACATCAAAGCCGTGGACCCCGTTCCGTCGTCTGGACTCTAGAATTCGAGAGAGCCCGTGCCCGGAATCCGGACCGGAACGGACAGTTGGACTCCCTGGCCGTTTTCCACGTGGGATTCCCATCTCGCCAAGCGATTTGACCGCGAAAGTATCACGCACCCCCGCAGTACCGACGACGACCGATCCAATGATTTATTTGAGCCTTGTATGCCTACATACTCTTTGAGGTTGTTGATTACTTCAACAGTCTGGTGAACCCCGGGCACAAGCATGTGAAAGTTGCAGGCCGAAGGCATACCTCTAGCCCTACATCGCCTCAAGACAATCCGGTGGCCCTTTTGGGTAGCGGGCACATCATGTAGTATATACTTGATACATATGCACGTCCTTTGAATGCCGTGACTCGTAACCAAGCTTCAAGTCAGAGTTGACCTTCGCTTTGAAGTTGTGGTGAAAACAAAATTTCGCTGTCGAATTTCGAGGCCCGTACACAGTAGTTACAAAGACGAGATCGATGTCGGTACCCAGCACCGATCTGATTCGATTTCACAGGCCCCACTCTTCCTGCGAGGCTGCCTACATACACGAGTTCGCGCATTTGGTGAACAGCCTTGCAGTCCAGTAAACATTTCCGGCTTCCACCACACACCACGAACCTTTGTTCAGCTTGCGCATTCAACCTTGCCGCGTATCCCCTTTTCTCCATTCTTCCTTATTTCTCTCCGGCACTTTCTCAGCGCGACAGCCAGTACCCGGCCTCCCGATCAACACCTACCAGGGAGTTGTCTACACGAACACGACTAAAGGCCTTGATTCTCGAACTTCTGAACCCTCCACTCGTTTCGAAGCGACCCTCGAACTTCTCCCACTAAGAGAGCCAGCTACTATTCGTCAAACTATCTCGACAAACATACGCAAACATGGCTGACTCGGACGGCGAGTACGCCTCCGACGATGAGCTCAAGAGGAATGGAAAGAGGACAGCGGATGGGCGCAGCAAGCAAAGCAAGGCGTCCTGGGAAGATGTAAAGCGCTCCTGGGATACCGTCTTGGAAACAGCAGACAGCGGCCTCTCCATCGCAGAGATTCGGGAAGCCGAGAAGCGGCGTCGCCTTCTGCGCGACACGACACCTCTTCAGCGTGGAATTATCCGCCATCTGATGCTTGTGCTCGACATGAGTTTCGCCATGGCCGACAAAGATCTGCTACCAAACCGTTACCGAGTCGTCCTAAATAACGCCATTGGCTTCGTACGCGAGTATTTCGAGCAGAATCCCATCAGTCAGCTAGGCATCGTGGGAATGCGCGATGGAATTGCTGTGCGAATAAGCGACCTGAGCGGGAATCCGGCCGAGCACATCGAAAAGTTGATGCAATGGAGCGAGCAACAAGACCCCCAAGGAAATCCGAGTTTACAGAATGCACTTCAAATGTGCCGAGGTGCTCTATAGTCAGCGCTACGGCCCCGCCCCCTCCGTGGCAGAGGTCATTCGCTAACCGCTTTATGTTTTTGTACAGCCAAACGCCGTCACATGCCACGCGCGAAGTACTGATAATCTACGGTGCCCTCGTCTCGATCGATCCGGGCGACATACACGACACCATCAATGACCTCGTAGCCGACCGCATCCGCGTCTCGGTAGTTGGCCTCGCCGGCCAAGTCGCCATCTGCAGCGAGCTTTGCAAGCGGACGAACAACCACGACGGCAACTACAGCGTCGCCGTAGACGAGGTGCACCTCAAGGAGCTCTTCTTCGCCGCCACCACTCCGCCCGTCACCCGCACGCCTGAGCAAAACACCGCCAGCCTGCTCATGATGGGCTTTCCCAGCCGCACGCTTGCTCCGAAAGACCATGTCAGCTTCTGCGCCTGCCACGCGAAGCCCACGCGCGAGGGGTACACCTGTCCGCGCTGCGGAATTAAAGTGTGCCGGCTGCCGATCGACTGTCCGATCTGCAAGCTGACGCTCATCCAGAGCACGCACTTGGCGAGGTCGTACCATCATCTGTTCCCGCTCAAGGTGTTTGTGGAGGTTCCGTGGTCTCAGGCGTATAGGTCGACGGCGTGCTACTCGTGCCTGACACCCTTTCCTGCTAGGCCAAGGGATTCAGTGGCGGCAGCGCCAGCGGTGTTAGGAGGGAGAGCCGGAGCTAAAGGTAGCGGGAAACAACAGGACGGCGAGCAGAAAAATCCAAAACCGGAACTCAAGGGTGTCAGCGAAAGCGGGCGGTATGCTTGCCAGGTATGCGGGAATCATTTCTGCATAGACTGTGATGTCTTTGCCCACGAGACTATTCATAATTGTCCTGGGTGTCAGAGCGATACGAGGGATCTGGACAAGGATACGGCAGTAGCAGTACCAGACGGCGGCCCTACCCCCATGGTAATGGATTCCTAGAGTGAGGAGCATGCTACAAATGGCGGCAGATGGAGGACAACAAATAGCCGCTCTGCTTGAACGTTTCAGATTCTTCGGGTGGAATCGAACCGGACACTCTGGTTCAGAGCATCGATACTATGGTATCGTGAACGAAAACGATACGATGAGCCGGAACAGAGCAGTTTCAAGGGTATGGCGAACATATCTGTTACATGGAGGGGTTGGCGCTGCAAAGAACACGAAAATATACACGGCATCACGATCAAAGATACCCAGACGACTTGGCTAAGAAGAAAGTCCAAAGTGGAACTCCCAAAACCAAAGCTGTAGGGGACACCAGCCGAATAACTAGAGACGACGGGGCCATGGCTTCTTTATGCTCTTTACCAACAAGGCAGTGCAAAAGGATACTAGCGAAAGGGCTAAAGAAATGACAGGATACAACGGATGTGAAATGGTCCTATAAATTCAAGAAGACGATTCGTTGGGTGTGGCGCATCTGTGAAGGAGATCGGAGACGGATATGGTTTCGGAAGAATGATCAAGACGAATCTTTGCGTATCAGTAGAGTCCCTCGTGTCGAGGGGAAAGAGAGGACGGGCACGCAATGTATCATATATGTGGAGTGATACGGCAATGTTAGATTTTGAGACCATACCAGCATCATCATTGGCGTACTAAAACAAGCTAATCTTCATATGTCTACACTGTTCCGGTGATGTTCCGACAAAGGAAAAATCCTGCCCTTGAACAAATCGGACAAATTATGTGCAAGGAGGTAAGACTGCGTGGTGAGAGACAAGTGAAGAGCAGAATGCGAAAGGAACTTGTTGGGCGACCATGACTGGCGATTTATGAACAGGTCAACAAAGTTTTCAAACCCCTCGTTCATATTCGAAGCTGATACACCACCGTGATTGCGGTCATTATATTTTCACACAGCAAGATTTCAGAATGACCAAGTAAGCACGTGTCAAAATCATCGCATGATTTGCATAACTTAACTATGCCAAAGCTACTTCTATGCTCCACTTCTCGGTTTGAAGCCATATCGAAACCACAAACAAGTACGCCTGCAAGATGCCATGCTAAGACCCTTCCGGCCAGCTCCCCTTTTGCCGGCCGACCCCCAAGCTTTTGTGCCAAAGAAAAAGGAAAAAAAGAGTATTTTACAAGAAAAGAAAATTTGAATCGTCAATCTCATCACCCGACCTTACGCTCCCAACCTTACAAGTTGCCGCGCTCAGCCTGCTCTCTCTCAATCGCCTCAAACAGACTTTTGAAGTTACCTGCGCCGAAGCCCTCAAAGTTGTTTCTCTGGATAATTTCTATGAAAACAGTCGGGCGGTCCATCAACGGCTTGGTAAACAGCTGCAGCAGGTAACCACCTTCGTCATAATCGATCAAAATGTTGAGCTTCTGGATGGTGTCCAGGTCCTCCTTGAGCTCCCACCCACGCTTCTCCGTCTTGAGGCGCTGGCGGATGGTGTCATAGTAGGTGGAGGGCACGTTGATGAACTCGACGCCGCGGGCGCGCATGGCGCTGACGGTGGAGATGATGTCGGGCGTCAGCAGGGCAATGTGCTGCACTCCGGCGCCCGAGTTGAAGACAACGTACTCCTCAATCTGTGACTTCTTCTTGCCGGGCGCGGGCTCGTTGATGGGCATCTTGACCAGGTTGTTCTCGGACGCCATGACGATTGAGTTCAGAGCCGAGAACTCGGTGCAGATCTGCGAGTCGTCTACCGACCAGAAGCGGTGGAAGGAGAGACACTGCTCGTAGAAGGCGCAGGCGGAGACCATCTCGTTCCAGTCTTGGTTGCCGACGCAATGGTCGATGCGGGCCAGGGGAACGCTGGGGAGCTGGACCGTGGCGGAGGAGGGGGCAGCGGTACGGAAGCCGGGCAGGAAGGGACCGTTGTAATCCGCCCGGGAGATCAGGGTGTGCGTGGTGTCGCCGTAGGTACGGATGACGGCGGTGCGGACGCTGCCGTGCATCTTGTCGGTGAGCGTGGTGAGCTCCTGGACAACGTCGGCGCCAGCGGCAACGGCCTTGTGGAAGACGCCATCCACATTGTCAACTTCGAATGCTACGTCCTTGACGGCGTCGCCGTGCTTCTCCAGGTGTTCATGGCACTCCTGAAGGAGCTTGCGGTCCGCATCCGAGATGGGCTCCTCCTCGGGGAGACACTTCTGGGAGCGAATGGGGGAGGTGAAGACAAAGCGGACATCGGCGTTGCCAACGACGTATGAAGCAAAGTACCGGCTGCCGGTCTCAAGGCCGCGATATGCGAGAGTCTTGAAGCCGAAGACAGTGTTGTAGTAGGAGGCAGCCTGCTTGGCGTTACCCACCCACCATGTTACGTGATCATAGCCATTGAAGTTGGAAACCTCGGAGGACTGAAGAGCGTAATCCGGAGTTCCGTTGCAGTTGCTGTACTCAGAGGATATGGCTGATGGGGACATGCTCACGGGGTAATGTGTAAGCTATGCTGAGTCGAAGAGATAGTGTATGGTTGACTGGAGGGATGGGTATCAAAGAATGATGCGTATAGCTTGATGACATCGAACCTCCATCTGAAAGGGGAGAGAGGGAGACTTATAAGCCATGGCAGGTGGAGAGGAGTGACGAGTTGAGATGAAGAGTCGGCTCAACGAAGCAGGTGTATTCCCGCGTTCCGTTCCTGTTGGCTTAGGACCTATCATAATTAGCAGAGATCAACGGACGTCACAACCCCCCTCTCGATCAGTTCCGGTAAGCAGACCCTTTTGCGGCCCTTGCACCCCCTTCAAATGGCCCCGTGAGGTTGGCAGGCCGGGGCTATGGTCCGCTTCACAGTCGTATGTAGGCAGGTTGCTGCGGGTAACGGCGCACGGGGGAGGCAAACCGGCGAGTGTCCGCACATCGATCATAGTGTGCGGTAACAAGCGCCGAGCTGGTGCTGTATCAACCCATGACTACCCATGAACCATAGTCAATACCCTCCCTCTGAGTGGTTCCTCGGTCTTCATTGTCCAACTACGCTATTGATGAAACCGGGTAACAGAAGAGAATTGACAGGTTCTGACGGATGACAGCGGAAACGGAAAGCGAACCACTCTTTTCTTTCTCGATGTTGGGGTGATAAGCCGAGCTGCCAATTTGGGGTGTAAGTGACCGAAGCGGCCATGTTCAACCGCAGCCGCCCGCGGGACCATTTGCAGAGGCGGAATCAGACCGATGGAACGTCGATCCCTGGAAAAGCCGCTCAGAGCCGACGGTTGCCGTGGGGCCGCGTTGCTGTGGTCTTACGTCTGCTTCTCCAACCCTCTCCAACCCCTTTTGTCTGCCCAAACAATGCATCTGTTGCAGATACGCCGCGCCGAAGAACTTGTGGAAAGGTCCATCATGAAAATCCTAGACAAGATGCGATCCCCGTGACGCTCATTGTCCCGAGCCACAGTGCACAAAAACCTTGGGCCTTCCGCACCCCATTGGCCGTAGATAGGTTGGCCTTTCGGAAAGCCGATGCCTTGAATTTGGGGAATTTGATGATTGGTCCTGAGATCCATCGTGACCCTTGCATTCCAAACATTGTATCTTCGTCATCTCGACATCCTTTTTCTTCCTTCTCAAACACCAAAAGTGTACAACCTCTTGCTTATCAGTCTTGGGTCTCGTCATTGACATTATTTCGAACGTTTTCTTGCCCAGCCTACCACCAAAAGTTTCTGGACTTTAGCTGCCAACATTGACGTTTCGCTCTCTACACAAGCACAGCTCTAGACGTTGAACCATATAATACACCACGGCAAACCATCGCCATGGCTTACGTCTCATTGAGCACACGAGATCTCAACGTCCTCGAGAAAATCCAGGACCCAGAGTACGACCCCGCCCGGATAGTGCAAGTCGACATAAGCCTGCCAAAAGACCCCAACTTCAAGGACCAGGCCGTATATGACAAGGTCGCCCAACTAGAGCGCAACATCATCCTCTCCATCCAGCAACTCGAGCTCGCAAATGCAAAGCCTGCAGCGCATGGAACGACCGACGTGAATAAGACCATTCAAGGCTATCGCGACTGTGTCACCCAGCTGGGAAGCCTCATCCAAGAATACCCAGAGTACGCGAGTGCCCGCAACAACAGGGCGCAGGCGATTAGACGGCTAGTTGGCGATTCTATGTTGATCTCGGGCTCCCAGCAGCTTCACCAAGCACTGATTCGGGATATCGATGACGCCGAGCGACTGCAGATGGCTGAGACTGCTCTATCTGACCTTGATCGCGCCATCTCACTCCTGACCCCTGCCACGCCCCAGACCAGATTGTCCCAGAATGTGATTAGGACGCTTTCCAGTGCACACACCCAGAGAGCCGCCATCTATCATATGACGTCCAAGTTGATGGAGTCCAACAACCTTGCTGTGCCACAGGGTCGACGAGAAGGAAGCTGGAACAAGCTGGATTTCGAGGAGAATGCCTCGAGGGACTTTGCTATGGGTGGCAGATATGGCAATGAAATCGCGAAAGCACTCGCTGTGAGCACAAACCCAACAGCCAAGCTGTGTGGACAAATGGTCCGGGAGGCGTTAAAGAAAGAGTACGGGCCGGCCTATTCGGCATGAGGGTCAAGGAACCGGCGATGCTGTACAATTAAAGAGAGTTGTTTCTGTGGGATAATGGTGATGAGAAATTTTACGAAAAGGAAGGCGCGACCATGGCCGCAACCGTCTGTTTCTCGGTACCAAGTGACTGCATCATGTTGACATGATCAGATAGTAGTAGCTTACGAGCTCTTGGCAGTCGAGGTGAGACCAAGGCGCCTATATATAGGTTTAGCACGGGTCGTAAATCCCCGCAGGAGAAAGTGAAGCATACCGACGAGCAACCTGGAAGATCTCCTGGGTGGTGCGGCCTTTCTCCTTCTCCTCGCGGTTGATTCTCAAAGCCGCAGCGGAAACGCCGATGAAGACGGCAAAGATGGGATCCGCAACCCGAGAGATGATGTAAACTGGGGCAGGCATTCTGTGTCGAGTACAGGAGATGTTTGGGTATGTTGAAGTGGTGATAAGTCGACCGAGTGTAGCGGGTTGATGTTTTTCAACAAATCAAGTTGTCGTGAACTTGGAGGGTAATTGGTGATAAGCGAGCCGACAACCACTTTGAAGAAAACGCAACTTTTGGGCATTGGATTTGGCTCAGTTTGCATTCATTCACCTTGACATTTCACTCCAAAGTTCCCTTGGCTTCCCCAGCGGCAGGCCCCGTTCATGCCCCGCACGCAGTCCACACTTGCAAGTCTTGGCAAGGACAGCTCCCCCGAGTCTCGGGTTTTATGGACGACGCACAGATCAGGGCTTAGTCATCAGAGTGCGCTGCTGTGCCCGCTCGAATTTTGAAAGCCCACAAACTGGAAATTATTTCGGGAAAGACTTCAACACGGTCGTCAGCTACTTGTCTCTGAGCCTTACAACCGACTTCAGGCAAGGCCCCGCTGGATCACTGAGTACGTCCATACTGTTCCTCTGCAATTTTTGGTTTTTTTTTTCGACGCGACTCCGAGTTTCCCGTGTCGTTCACCCCCTCTAACCTCAATCCACCACAGAATCAGTCAAGATGAAGTTCTTGAAGACGTCGCGAGTCTGCCTCGTTACCCGGGGTCGTTATGCCGGCAAGAAGGTATGCTGCTACACCTGCCACACCTCTACTTTGCCCACCCGACCGGAAATCCTCGTTGTCTTGTCCCGTGTCGTCCGAGTTCTGTCACCAATCTCGAATTTTGACCAAATCGATCGGAGGAGAAACGAGTTGCTGCAAATTTGCGCTGGACCAATGGCGTTTGGGAAGGAAAGGGACAAACGACCGACGACCGATTCCGACTGCTGCGCGACAACGACGCGATGGGGGAAAAGACAAGCCGAGGATTGATGGAATAGGGGAACTCTCGCAACGAGATAATGCGAAAAGCCGAAAACACCATGATCGCTGACTGACTGTCCTTGGTTCAGGTCGTCATCATCCAGCCCGTTGACAACGGCTCCAAGACCCACCCCTACGGTCACGCCATCGTTGCCGGTATCGAGAGATACCCCAGCAAGATCACTCGCCGCATGAGCAAGACCCGTCAGGAGAAGCGCTCCAAGGTCAAGCCCTTCATCAAGGTCATCAACTACAACCACTTGATGCCCACCCGCTACACCCTCGAGCTTGAGGGTCTCAAGGGCTCCGTCTCCGCCGAGACCTTCAAGGAGGTTTCCCAGCGCGAGGATGCCAAGAAGACCGTCAAGAAGGTTCTCGAGGAGCGTTACACCTCCGGCAAGAACAGGTGGTTCTTCACCCCTCTCCGTACGTTTTCCCGTCCCCCCACCATACCTTCTCCCTTCTGTCTCGTAACCACTCAGGGACAAGGACGCGCAATACTGACATTGCATCTTTAGGTTTCTAAATTAGTCTTCCACTCTCGGTCTGGGCAGGGCGCATGGTTTTAGGGGGCTGTATACAGCATTCATCCAGGGAATAAAACTTGAGGCTTCCTGACTAGTCTGAAATTAACGGCAAATTGAAACAAGAGAGATGACGACCATATCAACCATTCCAATTTCAATTCATCCACGTGCGGGCAGTCTTCAAGTCTCAGACATCTCATCGAAGGACATGGATCTGCGGATTCCAACTCTTTGAAACGGAGAAGGGGGATTGCCCCTGGAGGGAAGCACTTCGAAAACAGAACAGCGATCGATACCCATAGACCGGCGACGGATAGTGTTCCTGGTCGCGAGCCCCATGAAAGGGACTAGATACATCAACTTGATGAATCATTGAAGCAAACGAATAAGCGGCATTTGGAGACAACAATGGCCAATGACTCGGGTCAGTATATGACCATGATGTGAGATGTGTTCACCTCGCCAACGTGCTTTCGCTAAATTACTACCCGCTTTTTTTCTCCCTCTGGCCGCCTCGCCGTTCAAACGCTACTTGGTTTGTTGCGGTTTATTGATACGCAATGCTGAAGCAAGCGGCCATAGTGGAATTACACATCATAGTCTGGAGGACTACTTGACAAAACATCCTACAGAGAAAATATCGATATGTCAATGGAGCATACCCGTACCTAGACCTCAAGAGGTTCAGAAACACGTATGTAGGCAGGTACAGGTTAGACCATTCTAACCGTTGCCTAAGCATCATCTTCCTGCTCTCCATGTTTTTCATCTTCAGATACCTTTGCTCACACTTGCTAAGATGCTGAAGACCAAGAACACATCCTTATCCACCTCCCTCACTGCAGAAGCCGCACTCACACTTCCTCATTGTTTATGACATGAGGAGGCAATATTGCAATAGATGAAGAGCATAAAAAAATCACACAAGTCTACCTAATCTACATAAAGTCTTATCCCCCTTTACCTGTCTCCTGGAGTCCTTGGCCCTGCCATTTTGCAACTCCTCGAGAACGTTTCATCAACACAACTCACCACCTCTCCAATAAATTTTTACCGTGTGTATGGGCCATACTCAAGCTAAGCTGAATAAGCATCTGGTTATATATCCAGCATCCTGGCCACACCGTTAACTCCTAATGATAAGATTCCCCGCTCCCAGCTCTTCAGGACAATAGCC